CTGGGAAGAACTGGAAAAGTTAAAACTATGGGTAAGAAACATTTCTTCATGGGGAGGAACTGCATTGTTGGAACTGGCCAAAGATGACAACCATAAACTCACACGCACCCTTAGGCAATTCTTGCGCACCTAAATAGCATAGCCCTCCACCCTCAATCTGCACTGGATTGTGGGTACCTGAGTAGAGCAATTCCAAGTTGGAATCTACTGCTGGGGATGAAAAGTTAGCCACTGGTTCCTAACTACGCTCTAAAGCAGTGATGGCCAAACTTGGCCCTCTAGCTGTTTTGGGACTACAATTCCCATCATCCCTGACCACTGGTCCTGTTAGCTAAGGATGATAGGAGTTGTACTCCCAAAACAGCTGGAGGGCCAAGTTTAGCTATCACTGCTCTAAAGGAAGCCAATGCAAATATTTAAGCAGGCAGACTAGGAAACTCACAGATCATTGCGATAAAATAGGAATCTTAGTGTCACTGCTTTCTGTGGTCTCCTTTCTTGTGCATAATAATAATAATAATAATTTTTATTTATACCCCGCCCTCCCCAGCCAAGGCCGGGCTCAGGGCGGCTAACAAGCAATAATAAAAACAAGTTGAATGAATACAACTTAAAAACAAAATTAGTGTTTTTGCTGCAGCTGATGCATATTCAGTTAGTTCTTTAGGCTCTTGTCCCACTGAAACTTCTACATAACTCAATAAAAAGAAAACCAAATATAACTGGACCTCCTAACCAAGAGCAGCAGCTATTCTATTTTTAATCTTTCATGAGTAAAATGACTAAACAACCATAACTGGTGCTGCCTAAGCATCCATCACAAATGCCTAGTTACAGATGGGGTGCCTACTTCCATCCCATAATGTTGGTAATTCCACCCCACAAAGAGATGTGGAAACTTGCAATGATCCATAAACCTCAGGGTGGGGAGAAAGTAGTGTTATAGCACACCTTGAACCACCAAGAGAGGATGGCATAAAATTCTAAAAAGCAAGAGCAAAGGTCATCTTTCATAGGAAATCAGCAAAAACAGACCTTAGTGAAAGGCGTGCCGTATAAAATCTTCCTGGGTAGAAAAAAAAGTGTATAAACTTTCCATGAACTGCAAACATGTGCTATTCACCAACATGTGGTTCCTGCAAAATTCCAGCCCTATAGACAAAAATGGATATACATACATTCTCTTTCTCTTCATGGGATCATCTTTTTTCAAAAAGCATGAACCACATGAGAGGGAAAAAGGCCAAGCATTATTCCTCGGCTCTAACCAGTAGTTTGAAGAGATGACAGAGCTTATATTAAATATCAGCTTCTGGAGGCAGAAGAATGTTATGTGGTTGACTTTAAGACCATGACAGTACTGTAGGTTTATAATAGGACCACAATTCTGATGTTTTACACAGCCACTGAAACACCAAAGAAACCCCATAATTGACAAAACATTGCAAAAAAATAAATCCTCTGTTCTTACGATACCTTTATAAAACAAGAAAAACCAAACAGTTCAGCTCATGTTCTGTTTCCAAGTTTCCCTATTTTCCAGGGACAGTCCCAGATTTACAGAAGCCGTCCCGGTTTCTGATTTGATCCCGGAATGTCCCGCTTCTCCTTAGGACGCCGCAACTTTCGTCGGAGAAATGTTGGAGGGTATGGAACAGGGTGTCCCTATTTCCATTGGAGAAACGTTGGAGGGTATGTCCATCAGCTAAACTTATATAACTTTATAGTTGAAACTTCCAGTGTTGAACTGTGGAATTCACACCCACTGACACCAACCACTTTGGATGGTTCTAAAAATTCATGGAGAAGTCTATCAACAGCTACTAGCGACAAGGGCTGTGTTCAGCCTCTACTGTGAGAGGAAGTACTCCTCTGAATACCAGTTTTACTTGATATTCCCACATGCATCTGCTCGGCCACTCTAAGCACAGGATGATGGCTTACATGGGCCTTTCGCCCGATCAAGCAGGGCTTCTTTATGTTCTCAACCTGGACAACAAAGTGTCACCAGCAAGGGCCGGCCCTAACATAAAACAGAGTGAGGCAGCCACTTCAGGTGGCAGATGCTGGGGAAAAGGGACACACCAGCACCCCAGCACCCCCATGGACCCATAAGCTAGCCTGCCTTGCATTCTGTAAGCTAGACACCACAGTCACATTGTCAGTCTTGAAGGAAGGTTCTACCGCATGTCTACTCAGATGCTGTGTGTGAAATGGAAGGCATCTTGCCCTTTCCCTCAGTCAGCAAAAGGCCTTGGGGCTGCCCTGTCATCAAAATCAGATAGTTTTTGTTAAAAAAAAATGTGACCAGGTGGGACCAGGATGCCGACCCAGGAATGGTCAAAAGTTGGCCTACTTTAATCCATCGGTGGCACTTGCACTCAAATCTTTATTAATATTTTAAAGTACTTTTAACATTTCATGTGGTTTTTATTGCTGCTGCTGTGTTTTTGGAAACAACCCTCGTTCTGGGTATTTAATCATTTTTGCCGCTCCGACACATTTGGATCTCGTTGTCATGTCCAAGATTACACCAGGGGGTTGTGTAACGTCTTGGAGAGGGTGGAGTGGAGTGGAGTTATGAACCCAGTAGAATATATTTATGGGGAGGGTTGTTAGCGTATCTCAATCACCAGGGTTCTAGACTGAGGGAAGTATGGCACTGAGGGATTGTCAGGCCAGGAGAAGAGAAGACTGCAGGCTCTTCTGGAAGATCCCTCAGTTATCAATACCAGGGTTGGGGTGGCCATTTCGTTTAAACTAGTTCTCCCATCTAGCGGTACTGTTAATGAACCCAATAAAGAACTATCATCCACAATTTAAACTTGGATAAATAGGGCTGACCATTCCCTCTGATTACAACAAGACATGTCAGTTGTGAAGGAGCTCCTCGACTGATCCGGGCATTTCCCTTAAGCTAGTAAGATATGACCAAACCGCGGGAGGCAGTGGAAGACAGAAGTGCCTGGCGTTCTCTGGTCCATGGGGTCACGAAGAGTCGGACACGACTAAACAACAAAGTAAGACATTTGTCTGCAGCATTTATTATACTTTCTTTTATTTGATGTCTGCATTGCCAAGGCACCACAAAGCACGCCAGGAGTCGCTGCTTCAACTTGTGCAGCTGCAGGGAGATGCAGCGTTGCCTCTCACAGGGACCAAATCCCTCTGAGGCGCCCCATTTCACCTCAGAAGTTAGGATTCTTCCAGAATCCAGTGCACACCTTACATATTACACCTACTTTGCAAGATCCGAACTGGCCACCTGTATGGTACCAAGCTCAAATTAAGATGCTCGTGTGGACTATTTATGAAGCCCTGAATAGTATATGAAGAAATTAATGATAATAAAAATATTTAAAAGGGGGACTAAATGGCTCAGGCTGTTAGAGCATATTTCCCTATATTAACGGACCTGGGCCTGAGATCTGTGAGGCAGCCCTCTGTTTGTCCTGCTAGGACAGATGGCTTGCTGTGGGATACTATGGGGTAGTAGGGCCTTCTCTGCAGTGGCACCCTGACTGTCAAATTCTTTCCATCTTCAAGCCAAGATAGTCTACTTTATTAGGCTTCTGATGTCAAGTCAAAACATATCTGTTTGCCCAGACACTGGGTGGAATTGTTTAGACTGCCCAAGTCCTAGGAGCAGAATTTTCTTTTTCTGAGGGTACTCAAGTGTATGCAATACTGGCACCTCTTTTTTCCCTAGAAGAAAAGTACTGCCCAGGAGTATATTGTGCCTGCAGTCTATTCTGTATTCTTGCCTTTCACATGAAGGGCGGTTTGGAAGTTCAGTCAAATGAATGAGTAACTCTGGTGCAGCCACTACTTTCTTTTCCCACAATGCCCCAGAGCAATGCTACACTGGTAACATTGTGGGGAAAGTGGTGTGCCGAAAAACAAGATTAGGGCTGGGCGGTACCTGGTTTTCAACATCATGTTATATCACCAGCTAAACATCGTGATATACCGATCTATCACAATGTCTGAAATAAGGATGCAACTCTGTTGTCAGGCTTCAGGGAATCGGCTACCTCCCTCCGTGGCAGTAGATAAGCAGAACCAAGGAAAATGAGTCTTCTTACCAGTTAGAAACTTTAATAATCACAGCGAGAGAGCAAAGAACATATCTCCTAGAAATGGCGGCACTCCCACTTAAGGACCCCCCCCCGTCCCTATTAATTTACGTCACTCCTACATTTTGTAATCTGAGCTTGGAGCCTCTGTGTTTTCTGTTCTGACAGTTTCTGAGCTCTTTGGGACTTTGGGGAGGGAGGGAGGGGGTGGATACTATCCAGAAACTGTGGATCTGTTAACTCTCTCTCTTCCAGTGTTTCTTCTGCTGGATGTTCCCCATCCAGTATTTCCCACCTTCTGCCTTCTGAACTATGCCCCTCTGCAAACCACTGTTCCTAATCTATACTGTCCTCCTGCTCCTGGGAAGAATAAGGATCAGGAGGAGGGGAAGGGGGTGGCTCCCACCATTCTTCCTCAGTGCAGGCCTCCTCAGCACAGTCCCTGACATATGTAGAGGCGAACAATAGGGCTGGTTTTCAACACTGTGATATATCACCTGCTAAACTTCACAATACAGTGGTACCTCAAGTTAAGAACTTAATTCATTCCAGAGGTCCGTTCTTAACCTGAAACTGTTCTTAACCTGAAGCACCACTTTAGCCGGAGCGCGATTTCTGTTCTCATCCTGAAGCAAAGTTCTTAACCCGAGGTACTATTTCTGGGTTAGCGGAGTCTGCAACCTGAAGCGTATGTAACTCGAAGCGTATGTAACCCGAGGTACCACTGTATACAGATGGATCATAATGTCTGAAATAAGGATAGATCTATGTAGAGGCATTGGCTGGCTTCACCGTTTTTCCCACATTGTGATTTTTTTTGCAAATCACACACACACACACCATGATTGCAATATATTGCCAGGTCAAAAATTATGAAAACAATATCAGGATATGGACTTAAAACCGGTTTTGGAAGAGCATTAAGGGTCCTAGCTCAGGGGTAGAGTATCTGCTTTGTAAGCAGAAGGTCACAGGTTTGATTCCTGGCACCTCCGATTAGGAGAAACCCCTGCCCGAAACTCAGAAGATCCATGGCCAGTGAGCGAGCTAGATGGACCAATAGTTTGTTTCAGTATAAGACAGCTTCCTATGTTCCTGGCAACAGTGTGCCCTGCCAAGGCCCTGGAGGAAGGATGCCACATGTTGAGGCTGGCCTTGCCACCAGGGAACAAAAGGCAGAATGTAAATATTGTAATAAGCAAGACAATAACATTAATAAACGCCCTGAAACACAAAGAGCTGGCTGTGCCTGCTGAAAAGTGGCATTTTCGAGTGGTGAGCTAGGATGACATACAGCACACTCTTATTCGAAGCTTTCATACATTCATTAGCACGCACAGATGAAAGATAAACGAAAGGCAGCCTGTTGATTATATTTTATTTGCAGCAAGTAACTCGCGGAGCGCATGCAAAGCCATAATGGAATAGATCAAAATAAAATTCGAGCTTGCCATAGGGAACCAGAGCCAACGTGTTTGCGAACGTCCCATATTTAAATTAATTTTGTAAGAGGGAACAAAGAAAGAGGTCTCAATCTAAACACCATAAAGTAATACAGCCGCTAAATGTGCTGCTAAGCAACAGAGGTCCAGGCAGGATTAGTTAGCATCAGTTCTGCTATTAGAAAGCTATTTCCGTTGGAAACCAAGAGGAAAGAAAGCAATCACCATTTCTTATCCTTCGTGCCGCTCAGACAAAAGAAATCAAACTGAACTGTCAAACATGTCCAGCTCAGGCAAAGAGGCTGCCTGAAACCCTTAAATGGCTTCATAAAGCAAAATAAAGAGAAAGGAAATGACAGGGTCATGGTGCTCTAGATACTACTGCTATACAATAATATCTGGATTAGTCACTGTCACTGGATTAGTCACATTATTATTATTATTATTATTATTATTATTATTATTATTTCAGACTGAAATACAGCAATTGCCTTCTTGGACCATGTCATGGAAGCAACCATAGAGGAATGGTGGCCCCAATCTAGACAGAGCCACGTGCAACAGAAGGTAGCCCAAGATGACATTTGACGGACACATTTTCCCATCTGAAATGCAATGCAACTGGAAACTCAACTTGATTTTGTAGTGTGATACCGGTTGCCTTGTACCTGAATGAACAGAGCAATGCAAATATGTGTTGGGAGGACAATGCTCATTCCCCATCTAGCACGGGGTTCATGATCAAGAAAGGGTTCAGAGAAAGCCTGCTTGATTGAAACAAGGAAATACCAGCCTGCAGATTGCAATTCAGATCTGCAACCAGAAGCCGTTTTTTAGACAGACTATAAACTTAATAAAGACTGATGACTTCTGGGGTGGCGCCATCGGCAATGGCGGACTCCCTCTGAACTGGAGGGACTAGCTCCGCGGGAAACGGGTCTTCTCCGCTACGGTGAAGCGGGGACCCTTTTAAAAATCACAGGCGGATGAAGCCTGTGACCATGGGACTCGGCGGGCACCTTTAGCGCCCCCCCAACTCGCAAAGGAACCCACTAACGGGCTCCGAAGTGAAGAGGGGGAAGTGGCGCGGTGCTGTGAGTCAACTGCTATTTCCGTGGAGCGAAGCCGCATAGCCGTTGCCGGAGAGCGCTGCCTTTTTCCTGGGACAATTTGGACTCTAAAATAAGCACCCGTGAGTACTTAAACTTTGAACAACTGGATCTTAAATAAGGACTTGCGAGCAGAAAGGAATTGGATTTTTAAAATTTATTTCAATTTGGTACTGAACAGGAAGGTCTAAACAGGAAGTCAGCCTTCCGTTCTTTTGTAGACAGAATAAAGCAAAGACAACGTAAACTAGAGCTTAGAAAATCGCCTTTAAAGGATTGGATTTCATCATTTAAAATTGTGGAACCCCCCTTCGACAGCAGGAGAAGAAGGGGGATCTTTTTCGGACTGTTTAAAGTGAGTTTAAAGTAAAGCAACTTTCCTCCGTCCTGATCCTGGAGCGGGGTGTCAAGACTGACGTTTGAAGCTCATTGACCAGAGACAAATGTTTTTGACAGATAGCTAAAAGAAGAGAAACATAGTGTGGACCACAGGTATGAAATTCACGGCATGTAATGCCTTAAGAGAGAATATTATGAAAATGATATACAGGTGGTACATAACTCCAGTCAAGCTTGCAAAGGTCTACCATTTGCCCGATAACAAATGTTGGAAATGTAAAGAAACCGAAGGTACATTCTTTCACCTTTGGTGGACATGCCCAAAGATTAAGGCTTTCTGGGAAATGATATATAATGAATTAAAAAAGGTATTTAAGTATACCTTCCCTAAGAAACCAGAGGCCTTCCTCCTGGGCATAGTCGGCCAAATGGTGGTAAAAAAGGATAGAACTTTCTTTATGTATGCAACAACAGCAGCAAGAATACTTATCGCAAAGTATTGGAAGACACAAGAACTTCCCACGCTGGAGGAATGGCAGATGAAACTTATGGACTATATGGAATTGGCGGAAATGACTGGTAGAATTTGTGACCAGGGAGAAGAGTCGATGGAGGAAGACTGGAAGAAATTTAAAGACTATCTCCAGAAACACTGCAAAATTAAGGAATGTTAGAGGGATGTTGGACTGAAAATAAGTGGTTTCCAGCTGCACAGGTTAAAGTTAACGATAGACTAAGATTAAAGATCAAGATTAAAGATGTTTAAAGAAATGGAAATTTGATATTAAAAGGGAAAATTTTAATGTTATATGATACTAAGATCAAGGATTAGGTTTAAAGAAGTTGAAGTTATATATTTTAATATTTTATTAAATTAAAGATTGGGATTAAAAAGTGGAAAAGAAACTGCTGGACAAATAATTTGGATTGGAATACAAAAGAGGGAGGTATGAGGAAGTCCAGAAAATAAGTAATCTAAAAATGGAAATGGAAAAGAGAGTTTGCTTTTAATTGTTACGTTTTTTGTTTTTTATTGTTGAGTTTTGTATTGCTTTTTGTGTGTGTTGTTGTTATATATATTGTGTATGTCTTTTATTCTTTCTTTCTTTTTCTTTGTTGTTTAAAACTTTAATAAAAATTATTAAAAAAAAAAAAAGAAGAGAAACATAGTGATTCCACTGTTTCCCTTCGCATTTTAAAGGAACAAATATTGACAAAGTATCTCAAAAAGGGAAACTTTGTTGCAAGAACAAATAGAAGTTTCCCCCCTAGAGGGAGACTGTGAAACTGTAACCAACTCCAGGGAGCCGGATGCTGTTACAGATTACAATCGTGGGAATAGACATTTGACCTTGCAGGACAATGTATTCAGAAGCTCTGTTGTGTGCTTTCTATAAAACAAATGCCCTACTGGAACAGTTACATGAGAAGATGAATTTGATGGCGACTTCGACTAGAAATTTTGAACAGGCAGTGGGAAATTTTGAACAGGCAGTGGGAAAATATGTGAAGCCCACCCAGGAATTAAATCAGGAGTGTGTCCTGACAGAACAGGCCCAACAGGAATATGAGTTTTCGGATTTGACAAATGAACTTGGAAAAAGCCAGATTTGGAAAGAAAAAGTTTGGTTTGGCTTGGAAATGGGGGGCTGGATTGACCCCCCTATGCTGGGATGTTTGGACTTTTCAAATCTGGCAATGGGCCGTGAGATGTTTGGGATTGTGGGGGCTCTTAATTTTGGAGGGTTTTTGAAACATGCTTTTAAATACCATATGGAATTTAGTGCTGAATATGGAAAAGGGGCTGATCTGTCGAGAAGGGTTAAAAATATTTCCAAGCTGGAGTTACTACGAGCAGGAGACAAGGGAAAATACAGTTACAAATATGAAGAAGAGCTGCGGAAGGGACATGGAAGAGACTTGAGGGCCTCGGATATAAGGTTGCCAGGTTAACGGGCTAGATCGATGGGATAATAAGGACTGACAAAACCCGGAACCAGGAGGAAGGGACGCTGGATGAAGATTGGATCTGTTTGTATTTATTTTTTTACCATTAGGACTGTTTTATAAAATTGATGAATGTCAGAAAAATGTTGGAATGAAATTACTTGGCTTTAGTAAAGATGTTTAAAGAATTATGAAAGAATATTATGGTTATGAGAAGTTGGTAAGGATAAGATTTAAGTTTTAAGTTTTATTTTCTTATAGAAAGATAAGATTAAAACAGTTTAGGGTAATGTAACGACAGAATATTATGAAATATGGAAAGGATTTGCTGGGATAATTAATAACTAGGATACAAAGAAAGGGAGGAGGAGGAGGTCAAAGAAAGAAGGTAATGACAGTTGAGGATTTGAGAATAATGAATTTGTTTTTAAATGTTCTTAATTGTTTGTGGTGTATTTTTGTTTTTTCTCTGTTTCTTTTTCTTATTTTTGAATTTGTATTCGTATTGTTGGAAGGGGTTTGTTTTTCTCTTTTTCTACTTTGTTAACCATTTTTATTTTGTATTTTCTTCTGCTTTTATTTTTATTTTGTAACACTTTGAAAATTTCAATAAATATCTTATAAAAAAAATATAAAGATAATAAAGACTGGAAGACTCAGATAGAGACCTGAGAATGATGGCTCTTTAGCGCTGGAACTTTTTCTCCCTACAGACTATCCAAAATCCATGTTAATTCATCCGTGTCAATTGATTCTGCCAATAGGCCTTGGAGCACCTCCACATACTCATATAAAGCATCAAATTCATGTTTTCTTTCTCAAACGTGCACAGCCTATAAGATAACACCTGTCGCATGCATTTTTACATACTGCACTCATAAAACACTTCAGGTGTGCCTCTAAAAAAAGAAAGAAAAAAGGATGGTATATTAATGGGGAAAGCAGTCCTTGAGTGGGAACGTGCAAAACAATGTAATTATCCCAACCTAATGTCACCCTGCTCCCTGTTCTTTCTTTTCATGCTATGGGTTCTTTCCCCGCTTCCAGGGTCGCCATCATTATGTTCAAAAGCAAAGGTTCTGCCACCACTGACTCCCCGTGTCAGCTATATGATTTTCCACTTAACATTTTCCCCAGTGTTTTCATTAAAGCACAATT